ATTGAACTACACAGAATCAGCAAGCCCAAATAGGAAACATGTACATTTTAGTAGTCAGTACAAACCCAGTGTGAGCAACCATCTTCTTTCTAAGATGCTACTGCTTTAACCTAAGAAGACAACCACACAACAACACTAAGCTTTCTTCTTCCTCACACCAAATACTGCTTAAAAGTATTTGATGGTGGCTAGTTTCACTGACATGACAGTTATATCATTCAAATCACAACCTCATATTCCTATGTAAATAAAATTGCTCCATTTTACCACTTAAAATACTTTTAGTAAATCAGTTCTTCCACTTGCTTTACCTGAGCAACATCTTCAAGCTTGTTCCACTTGACAGAGAGCAATAGCTTTGGCAGGGACTGTGGAAAATTCTCACGGCAGTCATATCGCAAAGTCCAAATGAGATCCATTTCATTTTCACAGAGCTGAGACAAAGGATCCCTTTCCATGATCTCCTTTAGCTCAATGTAGAACTTTTTGCCACCCCGGCCCTTTAAAAAAAATGCAAAGGCTGCCATTTATAAATGGTATAGACGGTGCCAAGAAAAATGTTTCTAATTCCTGTAAAAGTATGAATGACATGGAGGCCAGAATAGGGTAGATTAGTTGCTGCACATTTTAAGCACACTGTAAAGGCAGCAATTCTAACTTCAAGAATATATTCACATGTAACTCCACAAGGGGGCAATATTGTTATTTTCTCACTGAATCTGCATAATGTTTCTGTCCAGACAGGGGGATGTTGAGATTGTATACTCAACTACTCTAAACATTTATAACATCTAGAGATTAATGCATAACTATTCTGTTTCAATAAGTTATTGAACATACCATGTAAAAGGGGGGGGACCACCTTACAGACCCTAGAGTTTACACCCCAATTCGCTCACCTCTTGCTTTTCATCCCACATTTATACTCACATAAGGCTACAAGTAGTATCAGTAAGTTCAAAAATATACCATATGTAAAAAATACTCCTCATTTATAAGCAGGGATGGGCACAAACTAGTTCATGAGCCAAAATTCAGCATGGACCTGGCCTGGTTCAAAGCCTCCGGAACATTTACTGGACTTTTGCCAGATCGGCTGTTCAAGCCATTTAAACCTGAGGGGTGCAGGTCCACAGCTGTCTTGTTAGGTTTAAATGGCTGTTAGCCATTCCACCGGTCAGTTTCGCTTCCCCTCGCTTGGAAGAGGAGGGAAGCAAAACCGACTGATGAAACAGCTCACAGCCATTTAAACATCCACCCATCAGCTGTTAGGTTTAAATGGCTGCAAGCCATTAAACCTGTCCGTTTCACTCCCCCGCCACTTCAAAGCAAGGCAAGTGAAACAGATGGGTTAAATAGCTGTGACATAATTATTTTAAACCGGGGAAGATCATTGTTTCACCTGTGATACTTACTGCCATACCAGAACTATCACTATTTCTTGCGATCTCAGCTGCCTTTTCAAGTATCTGCAAAAGGATAACAATGTGTAAACATTACATATGGGTGGTGCAGGGGAAGTGATCACATTTCAGCATGTTAGAATTCAAGATGATTGCCGGATATCACAGTAAGATCTCTACAGTCTGAACACTTGTGCAAAAATGTTTTGTATCTGTACACGTCTACCCACTATGCAGCAGATTTTGCTTTATAGCACTGTGAAATAAACAGGATACATAATTCAACAGAGTTTAGAAAATGCAGTGATAAATCATAGTTATATGGACAGCCTCAAGTCCAAAAACATTCATTTACAGCTTGAACAATGCAGATTTTGAAACACTATGTTCCTTGCAAATGACAAAGTCATGCAGTCATGTTTTAGCCAAAGAACATATATACCCCTCTTCTTTATCATTTTTAATAAAGCCTTAATATAAAGGTCTTCCACTAGATCAACATTCTTTTTTTGGGGGGGGGAGTGTATGTGTGTTTGCATGCCTAGAAGTCATGGTGACTTCTGACAACCCCTAGTGGGGTTTGGACGTTTTAGAGAGGTGGTTTGATTGCCTGCCTCCGCGTTCCGAGCCCTGGTATTCCTTGGAGGTCTCCCTTCCAATTGCTTCCCAGGATCAGCCCTGCTTAGCTTCCAAGATCTGACGAGATCAGGCTTGCCTGGCCTATCCAGGATCAGGGCACTAGTTCAACATTCTTGATCAGTCTGCTTTGCCCTGTAGGCAGTGGAAAGAAGGTAACATGTGTATCAGCTTGGCTGAGACTCTACATTATCTCCAAAGGTCAAACTAGATGAGATCCTAGAAGATTTGTGACTGGGCTACTCAATATGTTTTTACTGCTAAAAAGGCTGCTGGTTGGTGAAGGGATGGAGGTGGGGAAGAGATCTGAATCAGTACAGTGGTGAGAAGGTTTTAATATTTTCCCTCCATCCCATTTTCCTGACCTCTGATGCCACCCACCCCATAGGTACACTTTATGCATATTTCCCCACACAAGGGAAACTAAAATCTCCTCAAGGTCAGAAAACAGTGCATATATATAGAGGCTGCTTTTAATCTATATACTTTTATACCCTTTCTAAATTAGTTACAGCAGCTTTTTTTTATAAAAAAAACACATTTGTGTTTCCTATATAGAATTATTCCTAGCTGTACACTGTCAATCAGTGCTAAAAGTGACTAACAGTAAAACCAGACAGATCTTCTAAAGGCTGGCAGAAGTGATATGAATACGTATTCTCTGCCCCTGAAAACAAACGCCTTGGAATGTAGCAACTGTGTGTCAAAACTGCCTCCCTCTCACTTTAGAATATCTGTCTGTCTTCACCCTTAGCTAATAGGCAAAAGCGTGTACTGGATAAAAGCATTTTTGAGCCCTATTCAAGCATAATTAGATCACAGCATAGAATCTACCAAGTGTAAAGACAAAACTAAACAGTGTGAATGGTGAGCCCAATGCAGATCTGCATTCCTTAGTAAACAGATATAAAAGCTTCCAGACTTATGAAGTCCAAAAAGTATCGAGTTATTTTCTTTTTCAGAAAAGTTGAAAGCACAGAGTACTGATCAGCAAGCCCTTTTGATATTCAGAAAGCCATTTTATTCCATTTACCCTACTGAGCTCTATGAACAGCTGTTTGCTTGGCCCTTGTGAAAATCTTGAATCTACCATTCTCTACCCCCCCCCCCAGTTTTTCTACAGAAAATCTCCAAATCAGTTTATTTCTAAGGAAAAATGGAGGGGGGGAGAGAGAGATGTTTCCACAAAGAAAGATGTCTGGCACTTAAAAAATAAATTTTAAAAGCTGAAAGTCTGCCAAAAGTGGGTGGGGAAGGGGCAAAATCCCACACGGGAGTCAGAGCCATACATGTGCTCCAGTAGGAGACCGAAAGCTAGGAGATGCAAAGCTCCTCCCCAGCAGCAGAAAAATCATGCACCGCTTGTGGCTGGAAGGAAGGAAGTGATCAAACAAAAATGGCAGCTATAGAAACAAAGCACTATTAAATTCCACTTGAACAGATAAACAGAAGAAAGCCAACCCTTAGAACCCACGTTCTCTGTAAAATTTGCAGGAGGAAAAATTAACAAACTTCAAAATATTTTTTCAGATTTCTGTGACATGATGCGAATAATGTTCTAGACCATCCATTATTGTATTTTAAGAGTCAAAGATCTTTACTGCATGGAACAGTTGAACAAAATTACAATTCATCAAAAAGAAGTGCAAAGTTGGAAATGGAAAGGTGCAGTAGTGAACTTGATTAAACAAACACTCAATCCAAACAAACTTACCTTATCAAAGGGAGGGTAATAAATAGGGAGTTTTGAATACTCTTGAAATCTGATGTGCAAAGCTGTTGCATTTTCAGTGTATGGATTTGTCTGTACTGTTCCCATTGGATTCAACATCTCTTCAAGTTCATCTAACCAACAGCAAAGAACAAGTTATATTGTGACACACATACCCAACATTTAAAACCCATGCTATGCTTCTTTGTAGGTGAATTCCAGATTGGAATATCCTTTTCCATTTTTTTAAAAAAACCTCCCTGAAAATAGAAAACAAGCACTCCAAGCAATGAGAAGGGTGACCATTTTCCTCTGTGGTTTTAATTTTCTTTTTGCAGGGAGCTTTTTGTGCCCAGGACCCATCAAAGCAGAATTCCCTGCCTCTCTGAATCTGAACTGGTGAAGCTCATTCCACCACCTCAGTAATTCTGCCATCTTATTCCGTCTTCATTCCTCCCATGCTCTTCTTAACTCTCAGGGCACATTTATTTATTTATTTAGACAATTTCTATGCTGCCTCTCTAGTCAGCATGCTCATGGCACCTTACAAAAATGAAATGAAGTGAAATAAAGTTGTTAACATATAGCAAGAGGTCCATTTTCATATTATAGCTCAGGTCTTGTTTTCATGGAGCACTTGACATTGTTTTTAACATCATCTTTTCTTCCTAACGCTTCCGACTGTTTTCATATGGAAGCCAGCTTGTAAATCCTATGTGACCAAGTACCTTACAGTGCCGGGTTTTTATGTGAAATTCATACCAAAATGGAGCAGACTTACTGCAACATTAAACAGTGTTAGTTAAGTTCAACCTAGGATCAGTCTCACAGTGTGTGATTTCAAGTTATCATGTGCTTTCTTGCCCTTTTCTGAATGGGGTAAGAAGACACAGTGCAGAGGTAAAGATATTGAACAAAGACAGGGGAACCTGGTTCAAATCCCCAGTGATGAAGCTCCTGGATGACCTTGGTCCAGGAAAGAACTATGTGCTTAATAGCCATGATAATGCAGCTACAGCCAAAGGCATGGTAGGGGTGATGCATCTGGGAGGAGACTACAGGATATACAGTGCAATCATAAGCAGAGTTACACCCTTCCATTGACTTCAGTTGTCTTAGGTAAAGGTAAAGGTTCCCTTGCTCGAAAGCCAGTCGAATCCGCCTCTAGGGTTGCGGTGCTCATGTCCGTTTCAAAGCCAAAGAGCCAGCGCTGTCCGAAGACGTTTCCGTGGTCATGTGCCCGGCATGACTAAACACCAAGGCGCACGGAACGCTGGTACCTTCCCACCGAAGTGGTACCTATTTATCTACTTGCAATTTCTTGCTTTCGAACTGCTAGGTTGGCAGGAGCTGGAACTAGAGATGGGAGCTCACTCCGTCATGCGGCACACTCAGGTCTCGAACTGCTGAACTACTGACCTTCCACAGCCTGCAGTTCAGCATCTTAATCACTTGAGCCACCGCAGCTCCTTCAGTTGTCTTAGAAGGGTGTAAATCTCTTTAGGATGGTACTGCTCGAGGGCTTATGAAAACTCTGAGACAAGAGTGCATGTGCGTGGCGGGTGGGTGAGGGTGATTCCCAGTTTCCAGAGACATTGATAGATGTTAACTGTCATATAATGAATTTTATCTTCTACATTCTGCATAGAATGTATTTTAAAAGAACTCATAATCAATTTCTCTCAGCAAGTACAAACTGGCATAGATCCAGCAAACTAATAACGACTTAGCTTAGATCACAGCCACATAATGACTTCTATAGCCTACTCCAGATGGAATCAGTTCCTGCATCCAGCCAAAGCTGCACCTTCACTTGGCTGAACTCTTTTCCCAAAGCCAACTCTGATGAGTCAGTGAAAAATACAGGGCTTGAAATTTGTTATAATAAACTTTTCCTTCACTGAGAAATCTTAGCTGCTCAGTAAAACAAGATGTACCTAGGCTGTGTTCTTTAATATGCCTTGGACTGCCATCTGCTTTCTATAGGGGTAAGCTGATCTTAGCATTAAAAAAAATGGCTCCTAAAAGATGCAGAACACAACTTTGAAGTAAGTGTGATTAGCCTAACAAAGACATCAGCAGAGGGAGCTGCTGGGGCCCACACACAGTTCATGCTCTCTACTCAGAATGAATGTCTGCTGGCATGTTGCCACAACTGTACTGAAGCTGCTGGGAAACACTTCCTCATAGTGGCAGCTCCATGTGGTGGGAGGCAACACACAGAAATGCTGACTACATGGCAAACACAAATCACATGGAGTCTCTCTACAGCCTTGCCAGTCAGGAAGGGTAGTGAAAACACGGAAAGACTCCATAAGATGTAGGGGAATGAAGTGAAGGGTTTCTATATGCTGCACACCCCACACGAAGCTGCCATCACTGTGCAATGTAAAGTTGCTGTTATCTGGGGAAAGTTTTTCCCTATCTAGAATAATCTATAACACCACTGATGCTTTGCATTTTATTACCTTGAATTAATGTAATTTTGTTTGCTGCCATAAATTACAAATCTTTATCTTTGTGTGCTCAAAGTTAATCATATTCTACAACATTCAGAACAGTTTTAGTCTATCCAGTGCTAAAAGCTGCACAGCTGTGACTTATTTCAGAAGGGTATTTATGGGAAACCCAAGCAAGCCAGCCAGCCAGACCTTCCAAGATGAATGGAAGCTGCACAGCGGCACAAAACGTTAGGTGCCACAAGTTAAGTCTTACCAGGAAATGACGACCAGCTGTGCAGTACAAAGTCTCCCATTTTCAACTGTCCTTTAAAGTCAAACACCATGGTATTGACCCAAGCTACAGAATAGTGCTGAAATGAAAAACCATCCAGTTTAAAGGTGAAATTGAGTTCTGCACTTCATAGTAAAACAATTTGCATTTAATGAAAAGACAAAAAAAGATAAAGAAGGAAAAAGTTATTACTAATTAAGATGCTGATCTGGAAAAATTCAAGATGCTACAGAAAATGTTTTCTACAGTACAACACTACTAACTTAAGAGATATCTAAAACTGAAGGTCTCCTTAATGGGTTAAGGTGATTTAATGCAAAATTAGATGTATTTTGCTCCTTTGGGAATATCCTTTGCTTCTCCCCCCTTGTATGTCTCCCTTCAGTTCCCACCTCAGCTCTCCTTTGGTTCTCCCTCCTATCTACTTAAGCCATTCCACCTGCCTCATTTCCTTCAGAGCTTCTTTCCATCTGTCTTTCTTTCTTACCTGTCCTGCATAAGTAAAGTCAACTCCCTGATTCTCTTTGCTACCAGTGACTCTTGTGAATATGCAGGTCCAGGCAACTATTACCTGGAAAACTTTTCTCCTGCCCGGTCTGCAGCAACAGGATGAGGAGCTTACAGCATTCTGGAAACTGGATGTCACTGTCAGTGACTTTTTTTGCCCAAAGGCTCCATGCTGGCTAAAGTAAGCCTCTGCCAGCACAACGCCTTCCCCAGCCATCAACTAATTAATTTATTGCATTTTTATTTTGCCCATCCAACAAGGAGCTGAGGGCAGCACACATGTTTTTCTCCTTTCCTCCATTTTATGCTCATAGCAATACTATGAGATATACTAGGCTAAGAAAGAATTAACTGGCTAAGGTCACCCAGTGATTTTTCAAAGGAAGTGTGGATGTGAGTTTAGATCTATGCAGGCCTAGTCCAACACTAACTGCTATACCATATTGGCTCTCTCTCACACTGGGCATAAGATATAAAGAGAAGTCTCCCCAACATGTTAGAGGATTCAGTTACTTTGGAAGGGGGCAGGGACAGCCCCTCCACTAGGTGAACCAAGGCAATAGGTGGATGGGCACTAACCAGCCCTGTTACCACCCTGCCCACCCACCTATAGCATCAGGGTCTGCTGCACCAAGCAGCAGCCCCAGAAGGAGCCCTGTGGGCAGTCTGCTGGAAGCCTGCTCCTTCCATTGCAGGGATGGGCCCTTTTCTTCCTTTTCTGTCCTACTTCCTCGCAGCATAGTGCTGCCTTTCCGCAACACATGGGGGTGAGGACAGCATGTTGCAGCCTCCCACCTCCCCTCCCTACAGGCAAGGAAGGGAGCAGGGAGGGCAGCCTAGCCTAGAGTGACCAAAACCCTTGGGGGTCAGCCCTGACATGTGTGTGTGTGTGGGGGGGGATAATTTGTTCAGAAGGCCAGTTCCGTGCTTCTGAGCCTTGGACTGAAGCGAAGCAAGGAGCAGCCACTTTCCTCTTTTTAGCTTAACTCCTACCCTTAGGTGGCTTTAGAATTGTGCCTGTACACACAGGTGGAAGATGTATGTGTGTGTTTTCTTGTTACAAAAAAGACCACAATTTTTCTGTATACTGTGCAATTATTCCCATTTGTAGGAATGAGTACTGTCCTAGCCACAGACCCGGCTTTGCATCCATGTGGTCTGCAAGCTCAACACTCACTTACTAAGAAGATGGATGATTTTTAGCTCACTTTTATTAATAAAAGAGGCAGTGTAATGACAGTGGCTAAGTGTGTGACCTATGAGATGGGAAGTCTTGGCCAAATTTCACATCAGTCATGAATTCCTTCAGCAAGCCATTATCTGCCCCAGGCTCTCACACCTGCAATGTAACATGTATCCCTTACAGGGCTGTTGTATGGATAACTGAGAAAGCATACAATGCTCTTTGAATGCATAAGAAAGCTTAAGAAAGTGAAATATTTATCTGCTAAAACGAATAGTATATAACCAAGTACTTTTTAAAAAGTTTAATTTGTACAATTACAGCTTTCAATCTGCAGTTCAGAGTAATTTTTTTTTTAAGTATGGAAACTGAAAGTATGTAACCATGCACAGATTTCCCCTTACAAATAACAGGAATGTAAGAAGTAGTGAAATGAAAGCATTACCACTTTCCCAGCTTTCCTAATAGTCTGGTATTTGGAAGGATTAAGTGTCTTGGCTGACTTTTTATTTTTCATTTTGTCCATCACAGCATAAACCACAAAGCACAGCCTAGCCATTCTTGGCAAGTCGCAGACGTTGATATCAAATTCCAAGGGCTCATTCCAAACATGGTCATTTCTCCCAGATATTTCTGAGCTTACGATAGGCTTACAAAGGAGCTCAGTTCCATGGAAGAGACCAGCCCTGACATGAACCTGCAAAGAGATGCATGACAAGGAAGTATCCAGGCATTCCACAGAATCAACAAACAAGAGTAAGACTGTTCACCTAGAAGCATTTCCTGATAAAAATGACAGCTCTGAAACAGTTGGCTCTGTTGGGGGCTCATATGTAAAAATGTGCTGGAACATTAAACGTTTATAAACTATCTGTATTAATTGCAAAGAGAAGCCAGTTCTTTTTGCTGCTTCATTCCTCAGGGTTAGGAAGGAAACTCTGGAAGTTATAAAAGATGATGCCAACAACAGCTGTAATTAACTACATTTTTTTTTTAAAATCTAAATTTTAAACATGTTGCATCTTATTAGCAACAGTAGAAATATGGGTAAGTTCAGAAACTTTCTTCTGAAATTTAAAGAAATCTTGTGATGGAGGGGAGATCCTCTCTCTGATACACTGTACGCTTGTACTTTTTGGAATGCCTTTAAAATAAGTTCATCATCACCAGAATTATATATCATATGTCATCATGCATTTATCATATGTATACATGACTAGTGTTTTTTCATCATCACAACCTATTAAGGCTAACTAATTGTTATTACCTATGTTATCTGAGTAAAAACAGCCAATATTCAAAGAGTCCCAGTGAGCATATTCAGCAGCTCCGCAAATTTCCTTTTATGGATCTATTGTCATTTCAGCTTCTTGTACCACAGAGACAGTGTTGCCCTAAGCAGAGGTAACTCCAGTCAATGCACACTGACTTTAATGGACCTAAGACTGCACTGCCATTGCCTCCTACAAATGTCCCTTAAGAACTGCTTCTCTAGTAGCATGAGGGCCAAGGTTAGACTTAAGTGATCCTGGAGCTCCCAGCATGGCTTTTTGGATTCTAGACAATATTGTCATACCTCAATCATCTTTGTTGATCTCCATGCGTTCCCCCCCCCCTTGTTATTTCTCATTAACTGTTATTTTTAATGGCTACCATATGAAAAGCAAATCTTATGTTTAATAATAATGAGAACGTAAGAATAATAACAATAAAAATTGTTACAGGTTTTTGTTACTACAAAACAACAATTGTTCCAACAGATGTGTTACAATGGTTCTATTCAGTGTCACTCCAGAGAAGGCTCTGTTAGAATTCTTACTGATGTGCTAGTTTTCCAAGTGCTGGAATATTTTCACATGGGTGAGCATTCAGACACACATTCCCCTAACCTATGTTCTGAAGTAGTACTGTTAAGACAGTTTTGTGATATTTCTGCATATGAAGTTCAGATCATAGACTCGTTTTTAACTTATAGGATATGTTTAAGATTTCTAGTCAACCTATTTCATAATGCTGATCACTTCTTCTTTTGTTCTTGATGAAAAGGTCATGATTTTCCCCAAACTGGAGGAGGAAAAACACATGCTATGCATCTCCAAAAAAGAGATTCGCATTTGGGGGGTGGGTGGGGGGAAGCTTTAGAAGGCCAGTTACATTTTAAAAAATGATTTACTTAAAAAAAGTATCAACCCACTAGGCTACAGTGAATAACCTTAAAACATATCAAATACACTGGATACATATGAAAATTATTACGTGTTATCAGACCATTAACATCTTGATATTCCCAAATAGATGTGTTTGGTTACAAGGGAGCCTAAAAAGCAACTGCTCAGTTTCTCAAGTGTGACAATTTCTTTCACAGATTCAAAGGATGTCCTGAATCATTCCTTGTCCTTATTCATTCTCACAGGAGATTCTATTGTCTAGCCTGGAAAATTTTTTGCTCATTTGGGGCTTCCCTAATAGGGTTGCCAGCCCCCAGGTGGGGCCTGGGGATCTTCCACTTTTACAACTGATCTCCAGCTGACAAATGTCAGTTTCCCTGGAGAAAATGGCTGCTTTGGAGGGTGGGCTCTATGGCATTGTACCCTGCTGAGGCCCCTCCCTTCCCCAAGCCCCGCCCTCTCCTGGATCCACCCCCCAAAGTCTTCCAGGTATTTTCAAACCCAGACCTGGCAACCCTATTCCCTGAGGACACTAATTTAGTATTTCTAGTACAGAAGGAGGAGCCATTTAGGATTAAAACTTATCAGAAATTGTCAGAACTAGGAAAGAGATTGGATATCTATTTCAAAGGAACATAAATGACATTTTTCATATGCTTCTAGTATATTTGGTATGTCTCACACACATAAATGATAACTGATTGAATTTTTACTGGTCCTATAAACTTACGGGTTTCTAAAATCTGTGGCATGCCTGTTGAGAAGCATCACCCAACACAGTAAGCACAAGATGCTTTATAATTCTGGGAGGCACAATCCTGCAAATGTTAACCATTGCTACGCCCCACAAAAAACAAAAACAAACAAAAAACAATGGAATAGGGTTTATCTACAAGCAGGGCTTTTTTTCCTGGGGGAACATGCTGGAATGGAGTTCTGGAACCTCTTTGACAAAATTATTTTTAAAATGTGTAAAAGTTCATGAGTTTTCAGTATACAGATTGAAAACTTCCTTTTCCCTCTTAAGCCATCCGGCACACCTTTTTCCCCCCAAAAAAAGAAGAAGAAGAAGCCCAGTCTACAAGTAACATAGCCTCCTTGAATCCAAAAGAGTTTAGTCAAACTTTTGCTGGCCTTTGGATTGTGCTTAGCTGGGGGTCAGACAGGAGCTTACAATGCAGCATGGAAAACTGGTATTAGAAAAATGTAAACAGAAAAGCTGCTGCATATATGGCTGTCCCACTCTTCCTTTTTGGAATAAGGTTCTGTGACATTTTTCTACACCCCCCCCCCCCGTTCAGAATTAGTTGCCCCTCTTCAGAGAGAGAGAAAAGGATTATACACTTCTAGCGATTTATATTTTATTTAACATACATTCAAAACACAAACAGGTATGCAATTTTACTCAACACCACTCCCTAATTATGTACAACACCATAGTTCCCTAATTGCAAACAACTATTTCAGCATAGAAAAATCATTATTTTATGTCATTTCACAGCACACAGAAACTTGAGTAGTGTTTTTGTTGTTGTTCAAAAGAACAGTCTCTAGGGCCCCTGAATTTTTTTTTAAACTGTGTTGGTAAACACCATGAATTAATTTAATTTTTTTCTTCTCCACATGAAAATTAAGTCATTCACTTAATTGCATGCAAAACATAATAAGGAAAATACATGCTGTTGTATTTCAGAGGTGAAGCTCCTTGTAAGGGCTTTACATAATTGTGCAATATATTAAAGATGTGGTTTAAAATGCAGTCTTACAATTTTACAGGAAATGCTGCTTCATTTGCTTCTGCATTCAGCATGTTTTGTAAGCTATATATATAGAACAGAATGTCTAGTAGGCCCACATCAGGCTTTTTTATCAACTGAAAATTCATCTAATTTTTTTTTAATCTACTGGTGACTCAAATTCTTAGTAATAGTTTATCTTTCTATTTTGGTTAACTTTGCTAATCTACAGTAGCACATTCACATATCAGCTTTGTTACAACAGTTCTATCTACACAAACATTTTCAAGAGGAACACTATTCAATGTCACTCCAGAGCTTTTGTTTATGATTGAGAGTGTCTTGAGAAAATTCCCTGTTTCAATCATACTGAAATAACCAATGGGAATGTTCTCATTAAGTCAACTACCTGTTTAAACAACTAGATTCAGTACAGTATACTAAAATGCTAGAGAAGATTGTCAAAGAGATTAATGGAAGCATATCCAAAGGCTGGCAGGGTTACTTACTTTAGCAGTCTCATCTGTGTTCAACTTGGTCCCACTTACCAGCACCACCTTGAAAGGGAGGGTAATATCCCATACACTTTGAGTCAACTGTTAGACAAAGGATAAAACAATGTGAGATTTTTCCAATATATACATTCCCAAGACTGAAGTCATGCTTGTTAAAAACATTTTGCACTCTGCCCCTAACTAGTTTTTTTTCTTCCCCCTCCCCACCAAGAACAATGTTTGTTCAAGGCTCAACATAATATTTAATCTGAAGACACAGTTCAATATAACATTTACCTTGAAGACACAGTCAGTATAAATTGAGAAATCTGTACCATGTAAGCATGATTTAACTGTTCTAAAATTAATCACCTCTACCAAATAAGTTTAGACAGTAAACACTCACAGCTACTGTTCGTGATTTTTTGGGTGGCAGAGGAAGAGGAAGGCTGGATTTTCGGCTTATGGCAGCTTCTATGGCTATCATTTCCTGTTCACACATTTTCTTTATGCTGCTACATTCGACAAGAGTCAACTGAGGAAGAATTCTGTTCATCACACAGCAATGGATATACTAAGAAGGGATGAGGAAATAATTCAGTTATTCTCATGCTGAAAATTAAACATGTAGTTCTTGACATAAACATATTTTAGGTAACTCCATATACAATCAAAGCACTTCAGATGAAGATGGAATGAAAGAATCTGGAATGACTGATATTTTTAAATACAATTATCCAGATTATTGGCCTTTCCTTTCCCTCTGTCCCTGATTAGATGCAGATTGATGTAAGTTTTCCCCCCTTGCAATACAAGTTCCAAGTCTGAAAATGACTCACATAACTTGTTTAATATTTCAGATTTTAACAAGGATTTTAAAGTCACACAGATAAGAACAAGGTTTTAAGAAGGGTATGCTAATACAATTCATATATAAAGCGTTTAGAATTGCTTCTGTGGACACTGACCAAAATTACCACCAAGGAAGCTGAAACGTTCATGACTGTGTTAAATCCAGTTAATCCCTTCTGGTTCTTAGAATCAGTGGGCTGGATCCAGTTAATTAATAACTCCAGAGAATGGCCCAAAGGATCCAGGGATGTCTGGGAACAGGGTACAATGCAGCACAGAGGGGTGGCAGCCGTAGAAAGAAAGAAGAAATGTTTCCTGCAAGCTCCAAAGCATCACGCCACATCTAATTTAGTTTCTAAGGGGCTCCCAACCCTCAGGAGTAACTCTGGGGAAGGGCACAGGAAGCTGCAGAGGATAAAAAGGGAGAAAGATCCACTCTACAAACCCTTTCCATTCATCATTCATTGGATCCAGTGGTTTTCTTAGGATCTTGTCTGCTGAGCTTTAACTACCATGATACATCCTTTCCACTTTCCCAGCCATTCTATTATCATTTGCTCTTTTTTATGCCTCACTATAATGCTCACAATGTTTGCCTTGATTGCCTATACCAAACTGCTTTTATTAAAATTGTAGGCTGTAATTTTGTGCCCTTGGAGCATCATCTAGAATATTTTTCTGACAGTGTTGGACAACCTGGTTAATAAGTATGTCAAATGTGAAAGAATGTACATGAGAGCTGTTTTAAAAGTATGCATACCTGGAACTGAATTAATGGTTGGTCCCCAAAGACATATTCTAGTCTTCCGCTGACTTGCAGCACATAGTTATAAGGATCAACTGCTTCATCTTCCCTTCCATGGATAGTCAAACGCTTCCGAATTGCCAGTTCATTCAATTTGATAGGGTTTATGTTAGGAGAAACCTGGAAACTAAATACATCCTGTTAAAAAGGAAGAGGCAATCAAGTGTTAAAGTGTGATTTATTTGCATCCCAATCCTCAGCATTTATATGCATCTACCTGGATTGCTGATGTACCACAGCTGTAAGGAAAGATCCTGAGATTCTTCAATGGCTCTGCTCATATCATCCCAACCAGTCTTAGGACTGAGTGAGGCAAATTTTAGAACCTTTTGTAACCACTAATGTTCAGCATCCTTCACAGTTAATATGAAGGATAAGCTTCATTGGCTACTAAATCAACACAGTGCACAAAATGTACTCAGTACAGATACTAGCATCTTGAATAGAGCAACCATTACAATTAAATGAAGCAATCTATTGCAGTTTACAGGTTCAAAAAAGTGGTTCTTAATTTCTATCCTGGAGAAATGTTAAAACATGCTTATTACAATATATTAGATGCATATTTTCCTAGTGCCTTATGGAGCTGGGGAACCTGTGTACCCATGGTACTATTTAATATGTAACTGTGTGAGATGAAACTATTATTTTTCCTTGCTTGAATCCTCTTCACAAATCTTTCTTTTGCTTTCCTATAAAAGCACATGCAGAGCTTCCATTTTTAAAATACTCTAGGAAGATGTAAACATTCAAAAGCAATTATTTACAAATATAAATCATAGTCTAGCTACACACACATATTTGTCTAGAGTCTTATTTATGTAACAGCCTTCTGGTGCAGGGCCAAGTCCCACAAAGGGAAAATCATAACCATAATCAAAAAGTCAGTCAAAATCAATTCAATATTTTCTTAGTTTCAAAACTCATTTGTTTCAAAGCAGCTACTTTCCCTGAAGTTACTGCCAGACACTGAGGCCTTCTTTAGGACTAATTCCAAAAAGACAAGCCTTCATTTCTTTAAAGGCAAACACTCTCAGTTTTTCATAAGCATTTTATGAGCATTAGGGAACATCTGCTTCTATAAAGTGCTAGGAACATTTTAAATTTTCCCCCCCAGAATGCTGATTAATGAGAGACATCCTGAACTGATATGTATTGCCATCCTAGGCAGAGTTACACTGAAGTCAGATGTAACTTTGCTGAGAATGGCACTGTAAACCATTTTGACATGTACACCAGTGTCCAAGAGGCTTACTTTTGCCCTTTGTGTTTTTACTTTTTCTTGGTCCTGACAAAAGAATAAATCACTGCAGCAGTATTACACTAATAACAGGGATAAATAAGCCAGAAATACACTCAAAAGATAGCATGGTGTTTATTTCAAGTGAAGTAAAAAGGTACATGAGCATAGACTGAAGCAAGCAAATAAGTTGTAGCATATACCCATCATAAAATCCCTACATCCTATAACCCTCAAAACAACACATACATTTATGATGAGACAACTTGTGCAATGAACAGTAGGCTTAGAGATCACAGGCTCTTGATGGTTTCCCCTGTTCTGCCAGGTTTTCTGGCTCCTGTGACCTTTCTAGACTTGAACAGCAACCTCTTTGGCATTTGGACCCTTTAATAGTGGCCACATGCTTAATGGAGGCTTTCACTGCATGCAGGAAAATGATTATTTCTCTTCCTGCCTAAAGCTTTAAGAGGAAATTCAGGAATCAGGAATGGCTCTTGCCCATTCTGGTGGGTAAGAAATAACCAATCTAAAGTAAGGGCAGGGATTTGGGGAAACTTATAAAACTCTCCTCCCTAAGAGGTTTTTGTCATCTTCTGGGCATGGGACAGGGGTCACTGGGGGTGTGGGAATTTGTGAATTTCCTGCATTGTGCAGGGAGTTGGACTAGATGATCTTGGAGATCCAACTTCAGTGATTTCCAGTCCCAGAGTAGTCTATCTGGGCCCAGAGACCTTAATGGGAAATCCATTCCACATTTTCTTTGCAATTTTGTCTGTGCTGCAATGTGTTTGTGTGCTAGTTGAAGCTGTTTCTTGCTGGAGTTGTCCCCTTTCAAATAAATGGTTGATGTTTTGAGCCAGCTTGCCTCTGCTGAATGGACCTGAGAATGGGTGTCTGAGTGAGTACTCTAACCTGGGAACTCACAGCCAAAGGGGGACATTACACTGGAGAGCCACTGCCACTCTGAGTAGACCTGGGGAGAAGCTTGCAATGCCCAGCCATTTCATGTTTTCCTAGGCTCAAAGTATTTTACGTTTTTAGTTTATATTTTTAGTTTAGTTAATTTCTGCTGTGATCCTTGTGCTTTTTCTTGATGTTTTATTTTTAAAATTACATAGCTAAATCCCACTATTCCCCCACCTTTCCATTTTAGGCAGACATCGTTTAAGGGGGGGGGGAGGAGGTTTGGAAGGTGTCTGTTATCAAAGACTGTTAAATAAACATAATATTGCAAGACTTTTAAAAGCATGTTTGTATTTTAAGTAAAAATAATATTTTTAATTGTTTTTGCTTGTATCCTTTATAAAGTTTATATCTCCGCTACCTAATATTACATTTTATGACATGCATGGCCCAGCCCGACAAAGTCCCATTTATGTCATTTGGCCCGTGCAGTAAATGAGTTCAACACCCCTTCCTCTAACACACAAAAGGCTTTTTTCATTTCAAAAACAGTTTGTATATTTGTTTTTTAAACAGGCAACCTTCCTTTAATCTCTGTGCCACAAAACAACACTTCTTTTGGATACAATCCTTTGAATCTAGACCAGAAACTGACACAAGGTTGCCCATTGCAGCAGTGTAGCCCATGCACCTGCCTAAACACATTAAGAGGAGCCCCAAACAGTAAACTGAAACATACTTTCCAACAAGATACAAGGCCACAGATTTCACCAGTAAGGGAGGTCTGGAGCAAGGGTCTTTTGCAATTTGCTGGAGACAATAAGTGACAGTTGTTATGATTTTAGGAATAAGGCTAGGCCTGCATGTCTTAGGGAAGCCTATTGGTCTTTGTGTAAACTTTGCAAGAGTCCTATAGTTCCCAAGCCTGTGGACTGTGGGGAAGAAAAGACAGAAAAGCAGAGGCCAACCACTAGGAAGGAGACAGAGCTTAGACAGAAAGCATATAAGGCCCTGCACAGAGAGGGAGACTGTTCACTCCCTGATGCTGAGCACCAGTGAGGCTGCTCTTGGACGGAGTTAATCACTTGCCCCACAGGGCAATGTAGTTGTGGTCATTGTATTAATTCTACCCCATTTCTATAACTGTTCTCTCTTCTCATTCTCTTTCTGCCTCGGTCTTTCATGCCTCTAATTCAGTCATACTTCAGGGTTCACCCTGACTGAAAAGGGAGCTGTTGGGGGCAGGGAGGGTGCTCTGTGCTCTGTCCAGGAGGAGGAGGAGGAAGATATCCCTGTTCACTCCATAGTAAACCCTGCATAGTCACACTCCTTTCTGTGACAGAAGTATAGTGAAGGATTGTTATGTATGGACATATGTTCGCCTATGTGACTCAATGTAACCGCGGTCTGGAGTTTCTGTCACAAGCTCTATAGGAGGTTATGAATTGACATGCACTGATTTATGGTATGGTTCAATATGACATTAGGCTGGAGCTTCAGGCACAAGCTCCATAGACACGATGGTATCGTAAACCTGGCTGTCGTGTTGGTCCCTGTTGCGAGACAGACCAATCCAGGGGGACTCTGTTCTGGTGGGAACGAATCTCATTGGTCCCATGCCTGCAATGGGTGATGTATTGTGTTCTTACCCTGTAATGTTACAAGTACGCCTGAGCTTCAGACAAGGCTCTATAGAAGCCTTGTATTCTAAGTGCACATTCTGATTGGCTGCTTTGGACAGTGGGCCAATCAGAACGTAGGAATAGTTCTGGGAACCACACCCATTGGTCATTATGTACACATTATGATTGGTTGTTATCTGTTTGGAGTGTGTGGCTTTGCCCGCTCAAATCGTATATGAGTCAGCCTTGTTCTACGTATTTTGGTCTTGTGTGTTATGAGCTGAATAAATAAATAAATAAATAAACTGAGATCGAGGCAGCTTCTTGAACAAGTGATGTATAGAAATGATTTCTAACAATGACCAATATTCCTACCTGACAGTTATCAAAATGAACAGCTACAACGAGATTGCCACCATAGAGTTTATCTTGGAGGTTTTCTGGGATCGCTGGTTCTTGTTCTGGAGGATAAGTGCGCTTTAGCCAGTCAATCCAAGATAACCTTATAAGTGACTTCATCTTTTCTTCACTGATTCGTCCCATCTTATCTCTGAATTCTTTTACTTCTGGGTCTTGTAAGGCATCAAACTCTTGGAGACCTGAAAAAGTTGAATTAAAAACAAGGTAGTTTATTCAGCAATGGTAATATCATACTAAATAAACTATAGAGAAGTTTGAGTCCAGTGGCACCTTTAAGACCAACAAAGTTTTATTCAAGGTATAAGCTTTCATGTGCATGCACTTTATTGGTCTTAAAGGTACCACTGTTCTCAAACTTTGTTCTGCTGCTTCAGACCAACATGGTTGCCCACCTGAATCTAAATAAACTGTACTTATTACTTACAGAGTTAGTATTACCTAAACTAATTCAAGGCTGCGGTCACACGGAACATTAGCCACCCTAGTCAGACAGAAGACATGCGGAGTTTCCGGACGCGATCCCACCAGCACATCTGGGAAGCGTAGCACACCCGGGGCTCAAACGAGGCTTCCCACTGAAACCGCACAGCAAAATACTAGTACCTCTGAGGTACTAGTATCCGGAAGCCGCGGGGCAAGGGCAGGCGTTGGATCGCGTTTCCGGAGGCATCCGGCGCCCGCCCATGTTCCCGTCCTCGCGAAAACGTTTTTTCCCCCAGGTCTTCGTGGATGCGCAAAAGCACCCTACCGAGCATGCGCAGTTGTGCTGTACAGAAAAAAAAACTATCCAGTTTGCCGAACCGCGCGCTTCATTTTTGCGCGCGGGATTGTGCTGTGATCGACACCTCTCCCTTCCCACGGGATCTCCACGGTACCTCCACGGGAGGTCTGGTCAGGTAACGGCGCCTTAGTTTGCCCCGGGGCACACTGCCACGCTCCCCCCCCCCGCGGTTTCCTGCTCGTGTGACCGGGGCCCAAATTTCACATATTCTATAAAAACAAGGACTATTCATCAGAATTACATCTTCCAGGGAAAATATAAAGATGGATTTCCAAATAACCATAGACTAATTACCATGGATACTGAAATCAGCATCTTTTGCCTAACTACTTTAATGCATATTCCAACTGTTTTATAAAGAGACACATGCACAAAAAAGTGATTCATATAAACGGTTCATTGGCAAAAACTATATTATATCTTACATGTGAGTTCAGGGTGGGTGGGTGGAGTACTGTATTTTATCTGGTTTTTTAAATGCCACAATGAAAATAATCTGATAATCATTTGATAATAGTGGGTGCACAGCTTAATCTCACCCTACATCTTTAAAATAAAAAAATGTGCAAAATGCAGAATAGGGAAAAAGTTCTTGGGTTCGTGCTTTCCCTAAGACAGGTCTAAGTGACAAATTAATAGTGATTTACTGTCCACACATTGGTGTTTGCTATGATGAATACAACAAGACATGGAGAGAAAAGATCTACTTATAAATATTCAGTGGATATATACCTGGATACCTACCTGCAGCCCTTAACATGTATGCCCCCAACTTGTTTAAAGACATGTCTCCCTTTGTCATATAGCATAAACAAACTCTTACAAGGTGGTTTTAAGAGGCACTATTTTCCTGCTTATAAATGCGAGAAGAATTAAAGCCTTGTTTTGTTTGACCAGGGAGGTGATAACCAGCTACCTAAACAAGGAGTATTAGGAATGATGGACTGGCTGTGCGTCAGTATGGACATGTTAACATTCAGTTTGTTGTTGAAATCTAAACAAAACTTGCAGTCTTTGTGCCTAGACCAACAACTGTCCATTGTATTGATGACAGGGTTGGTCTCACTAGAGACTATTTTTAATTTCAATACACAATAGCAAGTGAGTAATCTGTCAATTTACTTAAGAATGAAACGTTCCGTTTTTAAAAATCCACAACAGCAACTGACCTATGGTACAGTTTCTGCCTGCTATAAAAATGCCTAGCTGCGTATGACAATATTTTTTTAAAAACCTGTTTAAGTGATATGCACTGTATCAAGGATTACAATCAGGAACCTCATGGGTTTCTTTAAAAGTTTTCATATATCACAAACACACAGTATTGATTATTAGAGATCGAAGGTCATAAATGCCATTCTCACAAATCATTTTCTGGTGCTTCTATCTTTCATACTGGAAGAGTATTCAATACATGATTCTGTCATTGTGTATGACTGCCATTTCATGAAAAGGACAATGCATATCTTACATATTCAGCAAGAACAAGCACAAAACTTTGAAGAAAAACAAAAGAAATGTGGGTTTCTGGTAGCATGAACTGTGGCTGGAGAATACATGCACTGATCATCTCACACAAAATGGCAAGATGATGGCTTCCAGTACATTGTTGTATGTGTGTTATGTGCCATCAGGTTCCTTCCAGTTTATTGCGACCCTATGAATTAATGACCTTCAAGATGTCCTATCATTAACAGCCTTGTTGAGGTCTTGCAAACTGAAGGTCATGACTTCCTTTATTGAATCAATCTATCTTATGTTGGATCTTCCTCTTTTCCTGCTATCTTCTACTTTTCCTAGGATTACTGTATTTTACAGTGCGTCATAGCTTCTCATAAAGTGACCAAAGTACAATAGCTACAGTTTAGTCATTTTAGCTTCTAGGGAGGGTTCAGGCTTCATTTGATCCATTTGATACTTATTGGCCTTTTTGGTGGTCCATAGTATCTGTAAAACTCTCCTCCAACACATTTCAAATTAATCAGATTTCTTTTTGTCAGCTGTCTTCACTGTCCAACTTTCACACCCATACACAGTAATGGGGAATACTATGGTATGAATTAATATGATCTTGGTATCCAGGAACACATTCTTACACATAAGGATCTTTTCTAGCTGCCCTTCCCAGTCTCAATCTCCTGATTTCTCGATTTCAGTCTCCCTTTTGGTTGATGATTGAGCCAAGGAACAGAATATATATATTTTTTAATTTCTCAATTGACAACCTTAAATTGTATAATTCCTCCACAGTCATTACTTTTGTCTTCTTGATGTTCAGTTGTAATCCTGCTTTGGCACTTTCTGCTTTAACCTTCAGCATTAGTTGTTTCATATAGCCTTCATTACTTTCTGCCTGTAATGTGATGTCATCTGCATATTTCAAACTTCCACCAATTTTCACTCCACCTTCATCTAAATCTAATCCAGTTTTCCTTATGATAAATTGTGCATATAGATTGAACAGATAGGGAGATAAAATACATCCTTATTTGACACCTTTGCCAATTGGGAACCATTCGGTTTCTCCATATTCTGTCCTAGCAGTAAGCTCTTGTCCAAAGTTTAAATTTTACATCAAAACAATCACATATTGTGGCACACCTATTTTTTTAGAACCATCCATAGCTTTTTATGATCCACACAGTGAAAAGCTTTGCTATGTAACACAAGCTGATTTTCTTCTGAAATTCTCCCATGCACTCCAGTAATTGATCTAAATTTGCAATATGCTCTCTAATGGCTCTTCATTTTCTGAATCCAGCCTGAACATCACACATTTCTCTTTCCATATATGGTATGTTTCCTCTAAGCTGTGGAGTCTTGTGAGCAAAAATTCTACTTTGTGAGCTACTGGCATTAAAGTTGTGAGCGAGCGATTTGGCTACTACATACATTAGTTTGCTTTGGAGTCATCCTTCCTGAGTTAAGACAAAAATGTGTGAGCTGGAGGCTAAAAAACTGTGAGCTAGCTCACACTAACTCAGCTTAGAGGGAACACTATTGGTAACAGTCTTTTTGTAAGATTTTGAGCTTCAGTTTGCTTGCATGAGAAATTAATGTGATGATCCAATAGTTCAATTTACCAGTATGGAAGACAAGAGCAACAGAAACGTGAACACCTTGAAAAGAGCTATCATTGGGCAATTCTGCACTGGCTTTTCTCTCCGTTGTTTCAGCAAACCCACTTTGGAACAGAAATTCCCCTCTGCATCGCATGCTGCTTTCACTTCCTTTGATCATTGGATTTTATGGTACCCTCTGCATAGATTTATGGCTGTTTTATGGCCATTCATGGGTGATTTTGCAGTCACTACAGCATTGGCCTGGGGTATTCGAATGTGGCTTTGAGCTGCACCTTCCCCTCAGTGGCTGGTTCTGCATCTGGCATTTGCTCCACATTTTCTCAACACTGAGGAAAAGGTACAGCTCAAAACCACATTCAAATACCCCGGGGCTAACACCATACTGATTACAAAGTCACCTCTGAATGGCCATAAAATGGCCATAAGTCTATGCAGAAGGTACCATAAAACCGATGATCAAGGAAAGTGAAAGCGGTATGCAATGCAGAGGGGAATTTCTGTTCCAACGTGGGTTTGCTAAAACAATGGAGGGAAAAGCCAATGCAGAATCACCCAGTGTTGAGAAAATAAGGAGCGAATGCCAGATGCAGAACCATCCATTGTTAATGGCCTGCTGCAAGGAGGTAGCAATTTCAGAGGATTATTTGGCTGTCTCTACAGGAAGCCATATACATGGGTGCCAATAAAAGCAAAGACTGTGAGGCACATGGTAACTGCAAGGCACCGATTCCCATAGGGAGATGTATACTTGAATCATGGTGAATTTGCTTTCCAGAAACCTCTGTGATTAGGATAAAATGAGAGGAGAGAAGTGGTAGATTATACAACTTCATCCCACAGCTGTAGTTAAGGATGCTTTGCCAACATTGTGATTGTAGCTTTACGTTTGTTGTAAAATATGCTGAAGGCTTCATGAAGTCAGTATATGCTGAAGGCTTCACAAAGCTGGAATAATTCTAGGTGACTGATTTTCCTGTCTATTTTTCTTTCTTTTAAAAACAATGGTTTGATTAGGGTACAGTCGTAAGACACTTTCATGAGAGTAAGCCATCGAACTATCCTGGTGGCAAAACTATCAACTAAAGTCTAGATATAGTAAAGATGTAAAATACGGCTTTGAAAGCAACAAAAACCGAATTGTACAAGATTTAGCTTTCTTCAAAAGACAAAATGATTCAAAAATTGTATAATCTATTACTAGAGGATTATATGATAGATGAAATGATCAAACCATCAATGATTTCCTGGATGAAGGATATAGGCCACAATATTGACACAGAAACATGGTCAATAATTTGGAAAACATCTAAACCTATGAGGGCCATACCATACAAAGAAAATATTCTTAAAATGTTTTACAGATGGTATTGGGTCACCAGAGAAAATAGCAAAATGCTATAACAAGAATGCAAACAAATGTTGGAAATGTAAGGTTAATGTTGGTACCTTTTATCATATGTGGTAAAGGTAAAGGTTCCCTTGCTCGAAAGCCAGTCGAATCTGACTCTAGGGTTGCGGTGCTCATCTCCGTTTCAAAGTCGAAGAGCCAGCGCTGTCCGAAGATGTTTCCGTGGTCATGTGGCCGGCATGACTAAACACCAAGGCGCACGGAACGCTGTTACCTTCCCACCGAAGTGGTACCTATTTATCTACTTGCAATTTCTTGCTTTCGAACTGCTAGGTTGGCAGGAGCTGGAACTAGAGACGGGAGCTCATTCCGTCATGCGGCACCCGGGTCTCAAACTGCTGAACTACCGACCTTCCACAGCCTGCAGCTCAGCGTCTTAACCACTTGAGCCACCACAGCTCCTGTCATATGTGGTGTTGTTGTTCAAAAATACAAAAATACTGGCGAAGGATACAGAAAATAATTTTGGAAATCACCAATGTGAACTTAAGTCTAGAACCAGAATGTTATCTACTAAATATGATTCCAGAAAATGTTAGACATTGTGATATGGATATAATGATTTTGATATTAACATCTGCTAGAATTCTACTGGCAAGATATTGGAAATCAGAGAAAACCCCCAGTGAGGAAGAGTTAAAAAATAGGCTGTTACACCTAGCAGAAATGGATAAACTGAGTTTAGTAATGCAAGATAAAGAAGATGAAATACATACGAAAAGATGGTCGAAAGTTTATAAATGGGTAAATAATGATATAGAATTATAGACTCGAAATGTATTTATATTTATAGACATCAATGTTTATAACTTGAAAACTAATAAATACATTTTCAAAAATAAAATAAAACGAGATTAAGACCCAATCAGCCTGATTAGCTCAAGCTTCTCAGGGCTTGGGAGCTAAGAGTGTCAACCACAGTTAGTACTTGAATGGGAGACTACCCAGGAAGACTGGAGTTGCTGTGGAGAGAAAGATGAAGATGGGTAGCCATTTTAGTCTATCTGTAGCAGTAGAAAAGAGAGTCCAGCAGCACCTTAAAGACTAACAAAATTTGTGGTAGGTTATGAACTTTCATGAGTCACTGCTCACTTCTTGAGATATCTTCTTCCTCTTCGTATCTGAAGAAGTGAGCAGTGACTCATGAAAACTCATACCCTACCACAAATTTTGTTAGTCTTTAAGGTGCTACTGGACTCTTACTTTTTTCTACTGTGCAGAGAAAGGCAATGGCAAACCACCCCTGCTCATCTGTTGCTTGGAATGCCCCATGGAAGGGGGGACCATGGGGTTGCTTACAACTCAGCGACATCTTCTTCTTCTTCCTTTCAAGTGAATCTGTTTAGGATTCAAATCTGATTTGTTGATTAAGTTACTTATTTGCTACTTCCAAGTATTATTAGCATTTTGAATTTTACTAGGGTTTTTAGATTGTATTTTTAAATTGCTGTTTATGATTATGTTATTGTTTATTGTACAATTGTAATTCATAATGTGTTTTTATTTTGCAAACTGGCTTAGGAGCAGTATGTTGAGAATCAGTCAAAACCTCTTTTAAATTAAATAAATTAAAACAAATTAAAAACATTGTCTTGTGAAGAAAAATTACACTTGCTATGCCTGCAAAGGATACATAAAATCCTCTTTCTGTGCTCTATGTTGAGAAATAGTAGTCTATGAAACTTTAATACATTTCCATCATGAATCAAAAGTGATCTACATAACTTTAATTTCCAAAACCTGGAAATAGCCCTGTTTCAGCCATGTTTAATGAACTCTAAATGGGAAATGCTATGATAATGATAAGTTAAGTAAGACAACAAATTGATTTTTGAATGCATTCTTCATCTATTAATATTAAACTATTTCAGTTTGCAAATTTTCATAGATTCAGTTGGAGCAATGAAAACACACAAGCAGCAAGTAATACTCAGAATAACCATCTCAAGGAAGGGTGGTTGAAAACAACAAGATATCTGCAACTTCACTGTCTTGTTTCAATCCATCTATATTTTATTCTATTTTAATGCCACCTCTCCCTTGCTAGGCCTCTTCCTGAAGACAAGAATATTGATATCTACCTTTTCCTATGAGGACGCCTATCTTGGAGTCCAATTTTTCTCCTGGGTCACAGCTTCTTGTAATTAGTTGAAGGACAGGAAGAAATGGTCGAACATCACAGAGCCTTCGTGTTTCATCTTCTAGTTCCTCACGTACTGCTGTTTGATTCACGCAGGAGAACATATAGGAGTCTATTTCCATAAGAAGGTGAAATAGAGGGTAGCTGTGTGCTTGCTTCCATAAGAGCTGCAAAGAAGTGGAATACGTTTTTCAAAAATACAATGCACTCAATGGCCAGTAAGATCTCCATCAACTCTACATACAGCATATACCGGACATTTCAGTATTACCCTTCCAATCCCTTCCAGAGGCCATTTTAAAGAAATGTGCTTAAATCAAACCCAGCTGAACCAAGCCTCCAAATAACTAGGGTAGGTCATGCATCTAATTTAAAGGGATATGGTTGAAAGAAAGCTTGTTCTTGGTGCTCTAGGACCATTCTAGAATAAAAAGCCAGGAATAAAATGTGCTCTTGTCAGTGTCCTTATATTATGGTGAAAGGGAGTGCTAGGGTTCCATCCCTTTCCTGAGAGGGGTTCCCTCCCCAATGTTCCTTCTGTCTGGCTACTTTTATAAAGTTTTGGCAATGACACTCCTGAAAAGGGAGTTAATACCAGGTCAGGAGTGGAACTAGCTGGCCACTGAGACTTCTGGGTTCCTATGCCAATCAGCTAACAGTGGCTGTGGTCTTGCCATCTGCCTGTCTGTGCTGGATTTGGCGCAGATTTATTCATAACTATGGAACTAAAGAGCAAACAGAAGACGAGAAGAGACTGGATTTATACCCCGCCCATCACTACCTGAAGGAGTCTCAGAATCTCCTTTCTCTCTTTCTCTTCCCCACAACAGACACCTTGTGTGGTAGATGGGGCTGAGAGAGCTCTTCCAAGAACCGCTCATTATAGAGCAGCTCTGAAAGGGCTTGTGACTGACCCAAGGTCATACCAGCAGCTGCGTGTGGAGGAGTGGGGAATCAAACCCAGTTCTCCCAGATTAGAGTCCGTGCTCCTAACCACTACACCAAACCAGCTCTCTAGATCCGTAGTCTTCTCATATGTCCCCATGGCATCTAGATCATGAGGATAAGATAGAAGTTTATAAAATTATGCACAGGGTGGAGAGAGTTGACAAAGAGAAATTTTTCTCCTTCTCCCAAAATACCCGAACTTGGGGGCATCCAATTAAACTGATGGGCAGTAGGTTCGTGACAGATAAAAGGAAATACTACTTTACACGGAGAGTGATTAAAATGTTGACTTTGCTGCCAGAGGATGCAGTGATGGCCAGAAGGATAAACAGCTTTAAGAGGGGATAAGATAGATTCATGGAAGACAAGCCTATCAATGGCTACTAGCCATGGTGACTGAGGGGAACCTTCACATTCAGAGGCCCTAAACATCTGAATCTCAGAGCTAGGACTCAACATCAGGGGAAGGCCTCAGCCTCTATGCCCTGTTGTTGGCCCTCCAGAGAAATTGGTTGGCCACTGTGTGAGAGATAGGATGCTGGACTAGATGGACCACTGGTCTGATCCAGCAAGGCTCTTCTTATGAGTCTTTCTTGAAAACATGATGTGACACATTTAAATTCTGTTATCATATTGTATATCTGCTATAGCCTACAATCAAAACAGTGAAGAGAATCTAAACTGTTTGTGCAGTTTCATGGAAGCAGCCACAACAATGGGATGCTACTCCCAGGATGAAGCTTCCACAGATGCAAATATAGACAGGTTGCTTACCTGTAACTGGTGATCTTCGAGTGGTCATCTGTGCATTCACACCCTTGGGATATACTGCGCCTGCGCTGAACCTTCTCGGTACCGGTAGCTAGCAAAAGGGATTTTCGCGCCTCTCCCAGGTCACGCGCCGGCTCCACTGCGCATGACCAAGGAGGGCCATGCAGATCCCGCCAGTTCCTTCTGACCGCCGCCCAACAGCCTT